TGAAGAATTTAAGACAGGGGGAGAAGAGTGTGGCTGTCTATTATTTGATGTTGAAGTCACTATGGCAGGAGTTGGATGTTATGGAAGCATTTGTATGGGAAAGCACCAAAGATGCTGAAACTTTCAGGAAATTTGTGGAAAGAAACAGGGTGTTTGAGTTTCTTATAGGACTCAATCTTGAATTTGATATTACAAGGCAGAATATCTTGGCCAAAGATGATGTGTCACTTTTACAGGCATACTCTATGGTGAGCGGTGAAGAGAACAGGCGATAGGTACAACTACAGACCCCACCTCCTCTAGAACATTTTGCACATGTTGGAATAAAACCAAAGGGGCTAAATGAGAAAAAGGAAGTGATGTGTGAATACTGCAAGAAGCCGAAACATACTATGGATTCTTGTTGGAAGCTTCATCCAGATCTTCTTCCTGCGAGGTTTCGGAACAACAACAGCTCTAAGAAGGGTGGTTAGTCTGGAAAACTCAAGAATGCAAATGTTGCCACACTATCTGAATGTGAAGAAAAATCTGCTGTGGAACAGTTGGCAGCAGTAAAGGCAGAATTTGAGAGATATGGGAAGTTGATAAATCACTTGGAGTCTACTATTGCATCTTGCTCCTCAGGCCCCTCCTCTACATCTGCTTTGCCCATTCAGGTATTCGTGCTTCTGCAAATCATGTTACAGTCTCAGGTAATTATAGAATTCCTTGGATCATAGATTTTGGTGCATCAGACTATATGACTAGCCTACCCTACCCAACCTTTTTTGTTCATACCAGCTCCTCTCGGGTAGAGAGAAGATTTCTCTTGCCGATGGGTCTCTTGCTCCCATCTCTAGCAAGGGGAATATTAAAGCCTCTGATTCACTTGTATTATCCTCTGTCCTTCATGTTCCCAAACTTAGTACTAACCTTTTATCTGTTAGTAGTTTAACCAAATCAATGAACTGCAGCATAACCTTCTTTCCTACTTAATGTGTTTTTCAGGACTTGAAGTCTCAAAGGACGATTGGGAGTGGCCATGAGGCGAATGGAATATACCTGTTGGATGCCTCTGATCAAAGTTCTGGATTACCTAGTGGAGTTGCCTTGAAGTTTGTTTTATCATAGTCAGTTAATAGAGTCATGGTATGTCATTTTAGATTTGGTCATTTGCCTTTTTCAACTTTGAGTCATTTGTTTCCAGAAATGTTTAAGGGAATATCCCTATCGATCCTTCATTGTGAGTCATGTGAACTTGCTAAACATTGTAGACAATTTTTTTCAGTGAGTAATAAAAAATCTGTTTCTCCTTTCCATATTGTGCACTCTGATGTGTGGGGGCCATATCATTTACCTGCTATGGGGGGCTACAAATATTTCATTCTTTTCATTGATGATTTCTCTGGTTACACATGGATTTACCTTTTGAAATCCCGGAATGAAGTACCAAATATTGTACAAAAGTTTCATGAACTTATACTTACCCAATTTAACACTCAAATCAAAATATTCTGATCTGATAATGCAAAGGAATATTTTGAGAAGAGTATCTCCTCCTACTTTGATACCTTCGGAGTTATTCATCAGAGTTCCTACTCCTACACTCCTCAACAAAATGGAATGGCGGAAAGGAAAAACAAACATGTGGTTGAGGTTGCAAGAAGCCTTTTTTTGCTTCCCATGCTCCTATTAAATTTTGGGGTGATGCTATTCTTACAGCTACATACTTGATAAACTGAATGCCTTCTCGGGTTCTGGGGTTTAAAACTCCCTTTAGCTTGCTTTTTCCAAATGAGGATTTGTTTTCTCTTCCTCTCAGGGTGTTTGGGTGCACTTGCTATGTCCATGTCCACAGTCATCAAAGACATAAGTTTGAGCCTAAAGCACACAAGTGTGCCTTTTTGGGATATGCCTCCACACAGAAAGGGTACTGCTATTTTGACCCAATTCGTGGCATTCGCTTTGTTTCTAGAGATGTCACATTTGCAGAGTCAGTCCCTTTCTTTGGTACTTCTCTTGAGGGGGAGCATTTAGACGAGTTGTTTGCATTGTCACCATCTGTTCCTCTTCCAATTCCCATTGAATTGGACTTCTCCAGTTGAGTCACCAACTATACTTCTCCAGTTGAGTCATCTATCTCTGCTCCCCCTCCTACTCATCCTCCTTTTCTTTCCCATCCTATTATCCAGAGGTGGTACCAGAGACAAAGACTTAGAGACATGCAAGTTGTTTCCACGCCTTCAGATGTGCCTCTTGCTCCTCCCATCACTACTGAGATAACAGGTCAGCCCTCTTCTACCACTTCGGATACCTTCCCTAACCTTGATCTCCCTATTGCCCTTCGCAAAGACAAATGAAAATGCACAACTCATTGTATTTCCAAACACCTGTCCTATAGCCTCCTTTTCCCTTCCTACTATTCCTTTCTTGCCTCTGTTTCCACACATGTAACTCCCCGGTCTGCCCCAGATGCCTTGTCTAAACCAGAATGGAGAGATTCTATGATGATTGAACTAGATGCTTTGCATAAGAACAATACCTGGGAAATTGTGGATTTGCCTGAGGGAAAGGAACCGGTTGGCTGTAAGTGGGTGTTCACTATTAAGTATCATTCTGATGGTACTGTTGAGAGATATAATGCCCGTTTGGTTGCTAAAGGATATACTTAGATGTATGGTATTGACTACTTAGAAACTTTTGCCCCATTCGCTAAGATGACCTCAGTTCGAGTTTTGCTATCTTTAGCTACTGCTTTTGACTGGCCTCTTCATCAGTTTGATGTAAAGAATGCCTTTTTGAATGGGGACCTAGATGAAGAGGTCTATATGTCTTTACCTCCAGGGGTGTATGGGCAGGAGATGCAAGGAAAGGTCTGTAAACTGAAGAAGTCTCTTTATGGCCTTAAGCGGTCTCCTAGAGCCTGGTTTGATAGATTTCGGGCTGCTCTTGTTGCTTTTGGGTACATACAGACTCAGTCGGATCATACTTTGTTTGTTAAGAGGAGAGATTCCTTAGTGACCCTCCTGATTGTCTATGTTGATGATATTGTGGTTACAGGAAATGATACTCAGGAAGTTGTTCATCTCAAGAGTTTTCTTAACACTGAGTTTGAAATTAAAGACTTGGGAGAACTCAGATATTTCTTGGGAATTGAAGTTGCTAGATCTAAGGATGGTATGTCCGGAAGTATGTTATTGATCTCCTTGCAGAGACTGGGAAACTGGGGGCTCGACCTGTTTCTATTTCTATTGACCTAAATCATAAGTTGTCAACGACTGAAGGTGAATTGTTGCTTGATAAGGGGGTGTTCCAGAGACTGGTTGGGAAGTTACTTTACCTTTGCATGACTTGGCTAGATATTTCCTATGCAATTAGTGTAATCAGCCAGTTTATGCATTCTCCCAGAGATACACATTTAGCAGCTGTTGAGAGAGTTCTGTGCTATCTAAAAGAGACACCAGGGAAAGGTATCCTGTTTGCTAAGCATGGACACATGAAGCTGGAAACATACACTGATACTGACTGGGCCGGATGTATTGATGATAGGAGGTCTACTTCAAGTTACTGTGCTATGGTAGCAGGGAACATTGTATCATGGAGGAGTAAGAAATAGTCTGTAGTGGCAAGATCTTCAGCTGAAACGGAATACAGGGCAATGGCACATGGAGTTTCGAAACTTTTGTGGTTGAGATCACTTTTAGATGAATTGGGTATAGACTATGAGAAGCCAATGATGTTATATTGTGACAACCAGACTGTTATCAACATTGCACACAATCATGTTCAACATGACAGAACTAAACACATTGAGGTTGACGGGCATTTTATATGAGAGAGAGTTGCCTCAGGATGGAGAAGTCTATCTACCATTTGTTGCTTCTAAAGAACAGTTGATTGATGTTTTGACAAAAGGTGTTCCTAAAGGAAAGCTGGTTCATTATATAAGCAAACTGGGCATGATAGATATCTATGCTCAGCTTGAGGGGGAGTGTAGAGAGACTGGGCCGAATGGGATAAGTGTCTTTCTTATTAGTTCTTTCATGTTATGTTTTCTTATTGGGCTTTTTTCTTTATGGGCCTTTAGCTCTTAAGCTCTTATTTATGTTTTATAAGTTTAGTGCTGATGTGGACGCCTACTTAAGGGCCTCCTTGTAATTTATGTAACTTAAGTAAGTTTAATAAAAGATTAGAGTAGGGGAAAGAGGAGATATTCGAACTCCTCCTTTCTTTCTCCTTTCTTCTCCAATCTTCCTCCTTGCTGTCTCCTTCTCTGATTTCTTTTGCTTTATTCTGAAATATTCTATTGATTTTATTGGTCTGAATCACATCTGGGATTTTCTTTTAATAATTAGTTCTGTATTCAGCATTAAGGGCCAGTGATCAGAAGTGCATCGAAGCCGGATTTCCTGGAATAAGTTGGGAAAATTCTCTATTCATTCTTGAAATGGATAAATCTGTCAAGTCTGCAACTGATGTAATTTTCCTGCATATTTGACCAGGTGAACTGTCCATTCTTGAACGGAAGATTGCACAAGTTGTGTCTGGAAATGAATCTGGAAAAATTCCTCATGCTTCTAGTTAAGGCTCTGCCCCTTGAGTGCTCTTGACTGAATCTTATGACGTTGAAATCTCCTGCTATACACCACGGAATGTCTTCCTCTTCATGCAAAGAATCCACCTCCTCCCAGAATAGGACTGTTTCCCTTCATATTTATTCTGGTCTTCCTCTTCTCCTCTTCAGCCATTCTCCTATTGCCATGTGAGGACCAACTGGCAAGCTCAGCTTTGTCTTCAAGCTTTCAACAGCCCTTTTAGAGCAATGCTTCAATTCCCGCCGCTAGCCATGTTCTCCTCCACCGTCCCTCTATCAGTAAGTCACAAGAGTGAGGAATGCATTCCGGTTTCACCCTGAGGAGCTTAATCTTTACTGAAAATAAGTCTTCAAAGTTGTAATCTTCTAGAGTTCCTCCCAAAGCTTCTGCAATTTTTTTTTTCTAAAACGACTCCTTTCCAGAGATTGAATGCATCCCCATCATTTTCACCATTTTACTCAATTTATTTAAAACTATTTCATTACAAGACATCTTCCATCTCTCAAACAACGCCAAGCCTTCCCCTGTTTTCACCATTGAGACCTCTACCACCTCATCATAGATGTCTACGATGACTCTGTTCTCAGAGAAAGGGAGTAAAGCCGCCATGTTTTTGATCTAGAGCTCTTCTATTACTGAATCTAGCACTGGCCACCAATCATTTACTTTTTCTTTTGCTGTAATTACACATCTTTTGACCTAGTTCCCTTTCTCCACCTCCATTGACATTTTGTGTTCATTGTGAGCTAGCTACTAACACCATTTCCCTTTCCTCTTCACCTCCATTGCTGGAACCAGACTCACCTCTAATGGTGACTAGGTTTTCATCCCTTCCATGAAAGCAATCACCATCTACCGAAGCTTCCTTCTACTCCTCCTCAAGTGTCCTTTGTCCATATGGACCAAGTAAAGTTGCATGTTCTTTGTAACCATCTTCCATCCTTTGCACTCTTTTCCCTCCAGTAAACAAATCATTTGTTTTCTTACCTTCCTTGAATACTTTTGTAACAATTACACACCATCTCTTCCTGTTACATTGAAGCACTGTCTCATACTTCTGATTTGAAGTACACAATGAGCTTTTCCACCCTTGCTTTCTCACCAAGAAAGTTACTCCATCTATGAAGCCCTACAACCAGTGTTTTAAAAGCGTAAGGCACAGAAAAGGCGCAAGGGCCAATTTGCGCCTGAGGCACAAGGCGAGGCGCACGCCTTTTTAAGAAAGGCGCAAAATTACAAAAAAAGCTAAAAAATAAAAAAAAATAAAAAAATGCAAAAAAATTCACAAATTATTAAACATAATGTTAATAAAAAATATAAACTTAAATTTTAAAATAAATGTTTTAAAAAACCTATTATCTAAAATTAAATTACAAAAACATAACATGTAAAGCATATTCAAATGAAAATTTAAAAATAAAAGCAAACATATAAAGCATTTTCAAGCATGTAAAACCCACAATC